CTACTAAACCCTAAACCCTAAACCCTAAACCCTAAACCGTTACTATCAGGACTGGTCTTCTACTAAACCCTAAACCCTAAACCCTAAACCCTAAACCCTAAACCCTAAACCCTAAACCCTAAACCCTAAACCTATCAGGACTGGGCTTCTACGACTTGATGAAGCGGCAGGTGAGAGGCAAACAGGCGAACCTGGCGAAACAGCACGGGGCCGCTCGGCCCGTCAGGGTGCAGCTGCGGGTTCGTAACATAGAGGGGTTAGGGTTTAGGGTTTAGGGTTTAGGGTTTAGGGTTTGGGTTTAGGGGTTAGGTTTCAGGGTTTAGGCTTTAGGGGTTAGGTTTCAGGGTTTAGGGATTAGGGCTTAGGTTTCAGCGTTTAGGGTTTAGGGTTTACGGTTTTAGGGGTTTAGGGTTTAGGCTTTAGGGGTTAGTAACATTCTTCAAATATAGTCCCTATCTAATTAGGGCTGAGTTTTTTGCGAGATCCGTAGATGATGTTGTGGGTTGTTTTCTAAACTAGGGTCCCTTTTTCGGGTCCTTTTTATAAGGGTGCCGTACTATTTTAGGGACCAAAAGAAGGGACCCTACTTTAGACAACCACCCTGTGCATGCCCAGGTGCATGGCTTCTCGTACTACCACTACTGGATCCTCGGCTGTGATTCTCATGGCGAGCGCGACAAAGCAGGAGGAGGAGGACAACGCATGAGGATGAGGAGGAGGAGGAAACATGGACACGTGGAGCGAGGGAACGGGAGGTGCCAAGGCCACGAAAGCAAGAAGAAACCCGACAGACGAAGTGCAGGTGCCCAATGCCGAGCAGTAGTTTTGTAAAAAGTCACAGCTGCTATGTTCCCAAGGTTTGGTGGCGAGGGCGGCCACAACAAGAGCGCCGCCTGCTGGCAATTCAGCACTCTAGTGCCGGAGCAACTCGAATAGGGTTTTGGTGTGCATGGTCGAAAAAGCTGCATCGGATACATACACGAACAAAGGATTTATTTCGCTACATCATGAGCACGGCTTCCACGTTAGGTGGCATTCCGTCATGATACTTCGTACTTCTCATGCCGGCGCTTTTTAGTGCGGGCCCTCACCCTTGCCCATATCAAAGTCCTGTCAGACCAAAACCCGTCAAGGATTCGTCGAGATGGAATCAGATGATCCCCCCGCCGGCCACGACATAGTAGACCCTAAACGCCCTAAACCCTAAAATCCCAAAGCTGCAAATTGTAATCCCTAATACCGCAAAGCCTCAAATCCTAGCACTCAAGCCCCAAGCCAGAGAGCCTGAACCCAAAACCCTACACCCGTCGCTCCCAGGTGATGTGGAAGGTGCCCTACCAGGCGCAGGGGTCCCCCGTTCATACGGTGCCACGTGGGGGTTGCTTAGGCTTCGAGCGCTTCAAGCTTCGTTATACACCTGCAGTTCAGGAATCTTCCTTAAGAATACACGTGAAGTTCATGAAATTCGGGCCTCTCTGGGCCCGACACCCGAAGACTAATGGTTGTTCTGTGGGCCTATTCTAGGATTCTAGGGGCCTTAGCAACTGAACTGGGGCTTGGGTGTATGGGATAATACCATAAACCCCAAACCCTAAACCCCTAAACCCTAAACCCTAAGATAGCTGCAGGGACTGTACGCACGGGACTACTATTCCTGATCAATCCGACCCCTGGTGTGGAGGGCTGGTTCCATGAAATGGAGCTTGTTTGTAGCTGGAATCGTCGGCAGGTACGAAGTGTCGGTGCCTCAGCCCTAAACCCTTAACCCCTAAACCCTAAACCTTAAACCCTAAACCCTAAACCCTAAAACCCTAAAACCCTAAACCCTAAACCCTAAACCCAGCCTGCTGTGCAAGAAAAGACTTCAACCCTTGTAGACGAGCCCGATACCGGAGGTTCTCCACGAGGGGCAGCCGAATCGTAAACCCTAAACCCTAAACCCTAAACCCAAAACCCATTTCCCGAAACCCCAAAATCCTAAAGCTATACGGAAGCCTTATCGTCCCTTCATACAGCGCTGTAAAGGGGCCCTTCAAACAAAGCGCCCTGCGCCGGAGGTTCTCCACGGGTGTAAAGCCTAAAAGTATCCTTATCCTACCGTTACGACTCGCTTTAGAAAGGAGCCCTTCCCTTTAAAGAAACACCCTTTAAGAAGCCCCCTTGAAAGGAGCCCCCTTGAAAGGAGCCCCCTTTTAAAGGAGTCCCCTTTAAAGGAGCCCCCTTTAACGGAGCCCCCTTGAAAGGAGTCCCCTTTGGAGCCCCCTTTAAAGGAACCCCCTTTAAAGGAGCCCCCTTTTAAAGGAGCCCCTTCTAAAGGAGTCCCCTTGAAAGGAACTCCTTTTAAAGGAGTCCTGAAAAACCGGAGGTTCTCCACGACGGGCAGCCGAATTTGCCCTACTTCTTCACCTGGGCGAACGAGCCCTGGACCCGGAAGTTCTCCGGCCAGGCCGGTGAGGCCGGAAAAGGGAGGGGGAGGGGGAGAGGGGGAGGGGCCTGTCTTTGTGGGTGTTTGCCGCTTAAAGGGGGTTCAGGGGGTTAAATCGCAGGGTTTAGGGTTTGCTTTTGTTGGTTTAGGCTTTTGAGGCTTTGGTGTTTGGTGGCTTGGGCTTGGGGGTTTTGGTGGCGCTCGGAGTTTGGGACTGCGGGGTTTGGAGGCACAGGGTTAGGGCATGGCATAGAATTCAGGATCAATTAAGGGTTTAGGGTTTAGGGTTTAGGGATTTTATGAGGTGTGGATTACTGGGGTTGTCAGGGGTTCGAAGGGTGTTTCGGGTACGTTTAGTCAGGCGTCTCCTAAAACAGTATTCCGCGAATGACAGAAAATTTTAACACCAGTCTGGCACACCCTTCTTGAAGGAAGTTGGTTTGCAGATTTTCGGGTTGCTGGCGATGCCTATAGGAGCACCGCTCTTGCAATTGACTTGCTTCAACCGAGCGCCCAGGATGTCCTCATTCCGCAGACGCCCCTCGTCGCAAAGTGGGGGCTGGCGGATTCTGGTTTAATGTAGGGGCCTACATAATTACCAATACTATTTTGGGGGCTCCTTATTATAACTATAGTATGATGGGCCCCAAACCCTCTTCTAATGATGAAGGCCCCTACATTGGGAGCTTCAGGAGCCTAAAGGTTTCCGGCTTCCTAAAGCTTTGGCAGCTTCGCGGTTTCGGCTGAAGGCTTCAAGTTTTGGGTTCTGGGGTCGCTACGCCCAGTGTGCATGTGGTGGCCTCTGACCAACACCCTACATGCCAAACCGCTTAGGTTCCGAGGCCCTTGAGATCCAGCCCCAAAGCTTTGTTCGGCCAGGGTTTTGTGGACTCCAATGCATTCATCGCATCCCTAAACCCTAAACCCTAAGGGGGTGCCCGGAAACCGGTGCCCAAGGTATGGCGACCGTGATCACTGGGAAGAGCACTTCGAGCACCTGATGCAGTTCCGGGGCCTTATAATGGTATAACATAGAAGAGTCTACGACATGATGGTATAATATAGTGTGGTATAATATATCTTGATTAGAGTAGAGTAAACTATAGTAATGTCTTCCTTGTTGCCACACCCTAAACCTTAAACCCATCTCCATTGGCTTGCTATCTTGGAGCATGCAGGAAGGGCTTTGGGTTGGGGGTTCAAGGGCGTCAGGGATCAGGGGTTTGGAGGTCTAGGGTTTTCACGTCAGGTTTTTTGGTTTTTTGGCATAAACTCAAAACCCCTTACCTTGGTTCACGGCTTCTTGGTCTAGGGTTTCGAGCTTGAGGTGTGTAGGGCCTGAGCAGGATGCGAGAACCTGGGTCGCTGAAGGCCGCAGAGCCTGTCGGACACCTTTATACCGTGAAGCCCTCGAGCCTTAAATCCCTAAGCCCAGCAGCCCCTAAATCCCGAAAGCCCTCAACGATAATCTAAAGATAAGGTTTCTCGGGTTGCCTGAGATCCTGAACCCTTACCCCAACGATTGAAGACCCAAAGAGGCAGGATTGTGGTTTTTTTCGATTATTGAAAGTATTAGGGGGGGCAATGAACAAGCAGTGGCTGTGTGAGAAAGGCATGCTGCTTTCTACCCACGTTGCAGCACTTTGTCGAGACTCTCAACATCGACTTGAGGGGGCTCGGCAACCGGGCGCGGGAGATGGTCAAGCGCCAGGTCACCAACCCCTCCAAGCGCAAGGGCTGGATGCGGCGCCGGCTGCGCGAACTCCATTTCGAGGAGGAGGAAGTCCCCGAGGATTTGCAGCTTGTCGCTGCGACCCGAAACCGACCGAGCGGTGGAGTTCGGCGTGGACGGCATGCTGAGGGGCAGAGGGCGGACGCGGCGCCGGCGGGTGCGAACCCACTTCGAGGAAGAAACCCCTGAAGATTTGCAGCTTATCGCTGCGACTCCCACGCCGAGCGGGCGTCGGACTTCGGCGTGGACGGCATGCTGGGACTTCAAGGGGGACAGAATACTCCACAGGGAGTAGGTTAGAAGTTGTCCCATCTTCCGCAGTGCTGTTCCCAAGAAGAAGTGCTGCCTGTGCGGAAAGGCCCTTGCTGCGTGAATCAGCAGTTTTGGCAAGTTTCTTCCGCGTGCAGATGGATCACCTTGCTCACGGGGTCGCCAAGCGGCGCCTGATCCGTGCCGCAATGAAGCTGCGGATGACAAAAACGCTGGCGCCTTACCTTGCCGTCTTCACCAGTTCCGACTGCATTTGCTCTCAGAACTGGCGGCCCCTTAACGCGGGGTGACGTCATCTGCAACTCCCATCGGACGAAGCTCTCCAAGTATGCGCTGGACGCGGCGCCGGCTGCGCGAACTCCATTTATCGAGGAGCAAACTGCCGATTTCATCACATCCATCCTCGCATACTTCAGAAAAGGCAGACGTTCGGATTATGGCGATAATCCGTCCAACCGCCGACTTCATCACATCCATCCTCGCATAATTCCATCAGAACTGGCAGACATTCGCGCAAAGATTATGGCGATGATCCAGAACGGTAGCTTCAAAACACTCTCCCTACCCCTGGACAATCGCAGGCCGATCATCAACCGCACCCAAATCAAAACGCGGTTCCAGAACACCGGGATCTTTGATCAGTGGAGCTCGCATGCCGACGGCGCCGACCCCATAGAGGCCGTCTTGGACGCTCCCGCCGAGCAGGCGGTGCATTGAAGCCACCTGCGCAGGGCCACGAAGTCGCGGAGGAGGAAGCCATCAGACGCGACATCCATGGCAACGACTGGAAGGTTGCGCTCACTCCGCATGAGGGGCGAAGCAGGGACGCAATGATTGAAGCCGACTGGGGCAGCAACAAGTGCAAGGTGGTAAACAAAATCAAACAACGGCGTTGGTGCCTGTCCCATGGTAGTGAAATACACCATGGAGGACCCATTGCCCAAAGCTCTCCGAGACACAGCTCGGGAAGTGGCGGAAAAGAGCGGAACCGCGGCTGCATCCCTCGTGGCATAAGGCAGAGTGCCAGAGCCTGCAGGACCGCCACCGGGGCACCAGCACGAGCACCAGCACCAGCACCAGCA